GTAATAATAGTCCTACAGAACTTTTTTGTATGTGATTCGGTTACATAAATTTGAATTGTTCAACTGCAAAACGCACCGATATCAGTATCGATACACCACACGGTGCTATCTCTAAAGAACTACTATCGCGCTACAGCTGTGCCCTGGCAAATTGCTAAAAGTTTTTCTATATAGCCGCAGCCGCCGACGCAAACAGAAGCAAGGAAAAGAGGAAAACGGCTAACAAAGAGCGAAAACCAAACACTTTTGTACTTTTTTAAAAATAATAACCACAAAGCCAAAAGATGACTGATTTGCGCAATGAGATAGACAGCGATCTGGATCAGAATTACTCACTGAACAGCAATGCGGATCCAAAGAATATGCAGGAGCTAACAATTTACGTGAGTAATGCGAATGAAATGAGAGACACTCAACAGTAAATACAACAATCAAAACGATCCAACTACCTACTCCTACTTTTCACGTCTCCCCCTTCCTCCCCTCACTCACACTCTTTCTTTCCCTTGCTGTGTACCTCTTATCTATCTTAGGTACAAAATCTGTTGCAGAATGTGCAGGACAAATTTCAAACGATGTCAGATCAGATAATCACACGTATCGATGACATGGGCAATCGGATCGATGATCTGGAAAAGAGCATTGCGGATCTGATGAATCAGGCGGGTGTCGAGGGAACGGCACCGGAGAAATAAGTGAATCCAAGATATCAGTGCCTGTGCCACGCCCACAATTAAGGCATGCAGCACCACAATCACATATACATCGAACATCTACACAACATACTACATATACACACGTACACATTTACTCTCACACTTTTGTAACAATTCCAAAATCTCACATTCATTCACAACCCATGCAATTGCTCCCCAAATGTATCCAAGCCACATTTTGCTCATTCCTATTTTTTGCATAGTTTTAAGTTGATGTCAAAATTTAAGTTAAGTGCATTTTGGAAAGTTTCATTGTTAGGCAATAATTTGAAATTATGCCGATACACGTTTTTTTATTATAATTAAAAATCAAGAATTGTACACACCAAAAACGAGAAAACCCCCATCAATGCATGTCAAACTGTTTAGATCTTAAGCACGCTTCGATTCAACAACCGTCACCAGGCGACGTCCGCCTCCTCCACCCTCAGTTGCTATGCCAGCGTCTCGTTCTGTGCGCTGTTTACGGAATGCCACCTGAAACGGGACAAGTGGACGAGGAGGAGTTGAGAGAGGCAAGCGGGAGGAGAAAAATAAAAGGTGCAGAAGGTTCCACCTGATTAGATATACATTATTATTATTGCTATTGCTTTGCAGAAGGATAGTTCAACTTGTAATATATGTGTGTAATATGTATGTAATATGTAAGATTTATAGGCAGATCATGGCAAAACCCCAAGCATTTATGAAGAAGTTGGATTATCTTGAATCTGTAGATTAGCTTTATATATCATGTTATACCAGTCCTTTTATCGTCTATAATGATCTGTACTGACTACGTAACAAATAAGAGAAGTTTTAATGAGATCGACTATATCAATATCTATGGGAAATCTATTATCTTCTTTAAAAGATACAATTCTACAATAATAAGCTCTTTCTCAAATATTCTTCTGCAAGCGTATTTCAACTTCGGCTACCCGAAGATAACATGTATGGCTGCCCTCGTTCGATTATTATTGTTTATTTGGGATAAATAATGAGAGGCGTAGCGTGGTAGTCTGGGAGTCAAGCGAGGGCGAGCTATATGCAAATGAGTTCTAGTTTCGGAATTCTAGGTTTTTAGTTGTGTGGCACATGGAATTGCTTTTGCAATCTTACATGCGTGGCTGCCACGGCCTTAAAAGGATGTTTGACTGGCTGTCGCACCACTGGCTTCAATGGAGTTGCTGTGGAACTGGCTGAATCCTTGTTTCTGGCCTTGGCGCCAAAGACATTCTCGTGTGGCATTCCCTGTTCGCCCTCATCGTCCGAAACGCTGCCGGAGGCCTCTTCCTCTTCATCTTCCTCCTCGGCGCTTTGTTCGCTCTCCTAGATGGTGGCAAAATATTATTATTTACTTTTGATGTTTATTGAGTAAACCTCACCTCTTCCTCTTCCTCATCCTCATCCTCCTCATCCAGCTCGCTGTCATCCTCTTCGCTCTGCTCCTGTTTGCCAGCTCGTGGTATTCCAGCTCCAGTCAAATTCTTTGTACTTTTCGATAGCTTCTGCTGTCTTTTGAGTGGACTCAGATGATTGTGATCCAAGCTGTCCATAGATTGGGAGCGCAAACCTTTCTTCAGAGAGGATTTGCGACTGACAGCGGGTTCCTCTTTCGTTTTCATTAGCTTTTGAAATTGCAGGAAATCGTCGCGCTCATCGATATTACACACATCATAGTAGCTGGCGCTGAGCACCTCCAACGCCTTGGTGTGCTGTTTCATGGCTATCAATATAAAGTCGCTCAGCACTTGCTTCACATCCCGCAGCTTGCGCTGCTCAAATCCGCTGATGATCTCGTCGATGTCTTTGTTGGTGCGTTGAACTTCCAATTTGGTCTTGAAGAGCTCGGAATCAGCGGCGGTCTAGAGGATCTTGTTATAATTATGGAGTAAGGTAAATCTTTTATTATCTTACATTGTTTGCTGCAAATTTGGACTTTAGCTCTAGCATTTGACGCTGGCTGAGCACCTCCTTGTCTCTTGCAATGACAGCGAGACGCAGATTGTCCCTAGTGGATTTGCACAGCTGCTCAAAATGCGCCAGCTCGTTGACTATCTGGGGTATACAAATATATTCATTTTTGTTCTATTATACTTATTTAATTACCCTTACTTTCAGCTCCAACCTCTTCACATTAATATCCATGTAATCGCCAGTTATGGTCAAAGCGTTGGTGAAGCTCTTAAGTCCATTGCACAAACTCTCATTGATTTCCTCCTCATCTGCATAGTTCTTAATGTGCTTAGCCAGCTCATCGTGTGCATCGCGATATCTATCAAATATACGTATATACATATAATAGATATTTATATTGGTAATATACATTTCTTACTTAGCCAATTTTCGTGTTAGCATCGAAAATGCTGAACACATTTCCATTAAATGGCGTTCTGTCAAATTTATGCGTTCATTGATGATTTTAATGCGATCATCTTTGCTGGTCAGAAAGGAAAATTTGCCGCGACGAAACATCTTTATTCCTTTCGTTATCTTTTATAAACAAATAAAATATGAAATAAGGCGAAAATACACAAAATCAAAACAAAACTGTTACTAGGACAACGCAGGGCTGCTTTAATTTTACGATATATCGTTGAATGTGTCAAACGACAAGTTTTGATTTGATAATAATAATTAAAATTAAAGTGAATAGTTACGTAAATAAAATTTATCTCACAGCTAATTTATAGTTGTATATATAATTTGGGCTATTCAAGAGAACTCTTCCATTATTCAGTTCAAATTTACCGCCATCTGACAAATTTATATATCGACTTAGCTGCAATCGATATTATGTTTTTATAATATCGCATGTGAGACTGTAGTGTTACTTAAGAAACAAAAGATGGCGCTACTTATATACAATATATAGTTATTAATTTTCACTGTAGAGGGCGCCTGAATTGTAACGTCCCAAATCAAATACATTGTAAGGCCTGTGCCTGTTTCTTAAATATTCTCCGTAAATATAACATCAATACTAACAGTGTCAAGGTCAAGAGCGTGTGTTGCTCATGATAATGTGTGCGTGGGCGATCGCAGCAGCTATGGAAATGTTGCTATATTTATAAATACGTTTCATGACAAAAAGTTTTACTCATCTTCGCTGTGAGATTTTTTTTTATAAAGAAATGAATTAGAAAGAGGAAAAATGTACAAAGAACGATTGAGCGATAGTACAGATAAAGTTAGGAGCTTCGAATTTTAATTAAAGCGGGATGATTCAGTTTGATCAGCTGAATACCGACCTTGAGGCAAGTTTTTTTTTTTTTTTTTTTTTTTTTTTTTTTTTTTTTTTTTGGAATATAAGCATCTGCAACCGCAAGAATGTTGCTGCAACAACTTGTAAAAATTCCCCACCAAACATCGTAATCGTAATTAATTTTATGAATTGAAGTGTATTTCGCACTTAAGGCAATGCATTGTCGAACCGGTACAAAATAAAGCGCAATAAAATGTGCAGTTAAACTGTGAATCCGGTTGGGGAGAGTATTCATACATACAAGCATACATGTTTGTTTTGGTGTGTATGTGTGTGTGTGCGTGTGACAAGAATAAAATGTGAAGAGTCCGCGATTTGTGATCCCAATCTGTGCGACACAATACGACAAGAATAAAACAGTTGGACTGAGCCGAGGGCGTAAAAGCTGGTCTTTTGCCATACCCTATGTTGCCAACGATAAAGGGTATGTTGCTTAACATTAAACTTTGTTGTAATTTTGGTAAAAAAAATTCACCATATATTACAGGGCGTATCATTTGTTTAACTAATGACTTTTTAAAGTGAAACACATTTCCATTAATTGTCTTTTTTCAGAATTCAACAAAATTTCTTACAAATACATTCAGCAGGAATATTTTAGGGTATTTGCTAGTGGAATATTTTTGAATGTTCTACGCAACTCTTTTGCCCGGTTCTTATTGGAATACAGAGAACGTTGCTTGGCGCGCGTTGCTCGTCGTCGGCGGCGATTCGCCGTGAATTCTTAAAGCGAAATAAACTTCAAGCCTTGGTCAAGGGCTCGTTTCGGTTGTGGAGGTTCGTTTCGTAGTCAAAGTGCAGCCAAGAGACATTCACTTTTTAAGGCACTGTTCGTGCCGTTGCATGCGTTCCAGTTCTTGATCGTACGCACGCACGCTCTCTCTCTCGCTGTGTCCCTCTCTTTTGCTGTTTCTCTGTCTCTCTCTTGCTTTGGCTGTTCTTTGTGCTTGGTTAGCTGCGTGCCTTGGTATAAATTAAGCCAAATTTGCACGCAACGTTTAGTCCGAAATCGTATACAAAAGTCAACAGACGCGAGACCTCAACGATCGCGTGTGCAACAACAACAACCACAACATCGAAAGCAACAACAGACTAAAATAACCGTAAATAAATTTGCAAATATTTGCCTACATATATATAGGTAAATACCTATGTATGCATGTACAAGTATGCTTGTGTTATATCCGTTTGATGTTTATAAACAACCACAAATTGTTTAAAGAAATTGAATATACAAAAACAACAAAATGAATTTCTAGCGCAAAAAAGTGAAATTTATTTATGCAAAGAAAATCTTAGTGCCTTAAAATAAATATTAAACAAACAATTCTAAAGCGCGTGCGAGTTATAAACATTAAGATTTCCTTAATACCAAATTTAGAATTGCAATCTCATTTTTGCTGATCTGAAATTTTTTATCAGCCATGTTGAAGCTATAAAAATTAAATTTCAATAAAAAATATGTATACTTTTAAATGAAACGACATCTTTATGGAAAATTATAGAACAAAAATGGAGGATTATATTAAAACTAACTTTAAAAACTATTAAGAGAGAGTATGAAATATAAATAAAAAAAATAAAAAAATTAGATAATTTAAATTGAAAAAAATTTTAATTACAAAAAAATATTCTAAATAAAAAACAAATTTACTTTTTCGTTATTTTTAAGAAAATCAGAATACTTTCATAAGCCTTCATAATTGTTTGTTTATATTTTAAGTTAGCCCAAAAATAAAAATTTATAATAACATGAATTACTTAAAGATAGAAACTAAAATATAAATATTCTTAATGATAATGGCCTGTCGACGCTGTTAGCTAATTGATTTTTTAATCTTTCTGTTATAATTCATAAACTTAAATCGTGATGTGGGCAACTATTAGTCGTGACTTTTCAACTACGTTTAGCTAATTATCTAGAAACACTCAATCATAAGCAATGCAATTATATAGCTGATCTTTACATGATATTTAAATATGTTAACTGTAATTAAATTAGTTGGAATTAAACCGGGAACCAGGTGCTTTTTGCCACTAAGCCCAAAGTTCACTCAGTTAGCTTTCAAAAATGTTATCGATAACAGCTGCTTCGATAATTGAATCGAGTGATTCATCCAAAGCAGTTTTCCATTGTTTACGAAGTCAGCCAGCATTGACCCTGAACTCGGTAGGCAGTCAAGCAACAACAAGTGATTATTTTGCCAACTAGCTGATTGACATAATTTCGCTCTCTCTCTCTCTCTTCCTCTCTCTCTCTCTGGCTCTCTGAAAAGCAAAGCAAAAATACAAAAACTAAGCAAAGGCACAATTAAAATAAAAAAGTATTAAACGTGCAACTAACGAAGCACAAATGACAATTGATTAACCCGCATACGAAAAAAGGGGCACATGCAACGAATACTATAAAAAAGAGGAGACAACTAAATATACATATGCATAAAAAATTGCGCATTCGCCGCATTTGCCGCCATGCATTGCCCTACACTGGCGGCCAGCAGAACGTGTCCAGCTGTGCTATTGACTTTTTGCATATTGTTTTTGTTATCATTGTAATCACAGTGGAGTCTTACAATGATAATCTTGAGAATAGAGATCAACTACAATACGATAACCTTCATTAATGGCCTACTGATCTTCCACTAAATATATGATTCCCTGACTCTAGTACCTCCACTGTTCTCAAGGTGTTGTCTATATAATTTATTATGCATTTTTCTCAAACCTAACCTAAACTTTTTCTAGCTAAAAACGATATTCTTTTTATATCTGCCTACTTATCTTCTTCCCTGACAGTCTCACACACTCTATGACCCCCATAGCTGACCACACTCAGACAGCCCTCAGTTTTAAGCTTTAGTTTTATTTTTATTTTAATGACTTTGTCGTTGCCATTTAATCATATTAATAGTACTCGCAGCTCAACTAATTGAGCGTGAGTGGGTTTTGCTTTGCTTTGAGTGCGGACGGTGTATATGATTCTCACTAGTATTCGCTGTGTTCTCCCCACGATTCTCACCTACACTCTTTGTGTGTCGCTCAATCTGTTGCGCTCATTTCACTCAGTGATTTCTGTTCGTTCATTCTGTTTATTTGCCGTTTCCTCGACGCATTTCAGCGCATTTGACTATTGTTTGTCTTACGAAACAGAACCAAATCCGGCAACCGGTGCCAGAACAATTCAAATCGAAAATCCTAAGCAAATCAAAACAGATCTTAACAAAGGTGCTTGAAAAATATTACAATAAAAACATTTGTTGAACTCAAACAAAAAACAAAACAAAAGAGAAAACAAATAAAGATCGTGTGAAAATAAATATGAAGCTGCTGTGCGGTGTTCTACTGATCACGCTGGCTGTCAGCGACGTTTGGACTTTGCCAGGTAAGTTCTAGACTTACAAAAAAAAAAAAATAAATAAATAAATAAATAAA